GGGGGGGGGGGGGATGTGTTATGTCTCCCCTTCTCTAAGATGTGAATTGGGAGTTTGATTTTAGACAGGAAGAGGAGAATAAATTGTATTTTTAATAATCATTTTTAAAGAAATAAAACATAGATGATAACAACTTCCATGTAGGTGAATCTAATATTATATATTTTACATCTTAAATTAATCAATTAAAAAAGGATTAAAAAATAAAAAATTAGAATGAATATTTTAAAACTTAAAAAAAACTAAAATAAATTATAAAATTAAGATAAAAGGTCAATCAAAAGTATAATTTAATCTAAGGGATGTTTGAAAAAATTTTGCTTTTTCAAAAATTTGGTGTTGGGAATATTAATTTCTCATGTTTGATTTATTATTTAAAAAATAATATTTATAAAAAAAAAATAATTTTCTGGAAATGATTTTTGTATAAATTTTCTACAAAATTATTTTCATATGAAATGTGAGAAACTAACTTTTGTAAGATAAAAATAAGATTTTAATGCAAAAAAAAAAAGTGTCATGTTACTTTTAATTATTTATTTAATATAGTAAAAACCCTTAATTCTCTTAGAGTAATTTATAAAAATTTCTAAAATATTTATAACCAACTAAACAAATTTATTGTGTACCAAATTTTTCCTAAATTTAATATCATTATTTTAGATGGACCAAAATTAAAAATGGTCACTTTTTAAAAGGACCAAATTAATCTAAATTTAAAAAGATAAATAATCAAAATAAATAAATTGAAAGACAACAAACTAAAATGAATATTACAAATAAAATAAATGATAAAAAATATAATTAATTCTAAATTAAATGCCATATTATTTTATTCTATAATATATATATATATATATATATATATATAATGGAATTATACTTTATATACATTCAAATTAAAATTTTAATTAGTAGCTTCCTTTCTATTAAAAAAGAAAAGTATTTTCATCATTTTTACACTTGATTTTTAGTTGATTTTATTTTTAAGAGGCGTTAATGGCTATATTTGACAAACATTTTAAGCTAGCTTCTAGCTTTATTAGCCGGCCTAAAAGCTTATTTAACCTTATTAACTATGTTTGGTAAACAAATATCTTCGATAGCTTATAGGGTTCTTGAGATATTATTACTTTAAGCAATACTAATTTTTAAAACGCTTTTAATTTTTATATTTTGTTTCTTGTTCACCAATATTTATTAAGTTTCTTCATTAATACTTTGTCTTATGTATACAAGATAAGATTTTATTATTATTATTATTATTATTATTTCCCTTCTTCTAACTATGTTTATTTTAACTATTACACTGTTTATATTATTTATTATGTCATTTTAACATTATACTCAAGGGTAAAGTTAGAGGAGGTTAAGGTGTCACGGTCTCTCAAAATTTGTAAGTCTCTCAAAACTGTCTTCTTTTGCCATCACCAAATATACTTTTATTATATTTTTAACTATTAGCCTAATCAACGTAATGAAAGTAAGAAATTTACTCAAATATATGCTAATTTTCTTTGTATAAGATTTAGTTTAGAATATTTTAAGATATCATATAATACGATATAGATTTTTCTTTTCTCATATCTCATCCCATTCCATTTCCATATTCATATTTATAGAAATTCATCTTCATCGTTCACATGACAATCATTAACTTTTCATTAGGATAGTAAAATGGGTCAATCTGACCTATTTTGACTAGATCTGTCAATGGTCTGCCAAAAATTGGTTAGGTCAGGCCAGTTTACCATTAAAAAATGGGTTAAGAATGTTAACCCACCTCACCTAAGGACAGGTTGACGGGCCGACGAGCTAACCCTTATACCACTATAATATTACAAAAAAAAATATATCTTATATTTAAATAAAAAAATATAATCACATGAAATTGAAAGTACATATATATTGTGTATAATATATATTCAACAAAAACAAATTACAAACTTACAACAAAATTAAATAAAAATTAATCAACTTATAACAAAATTAAAATTAAATTAAAAATTTGCAGACGGTGATGAACCAGCCCCACCATTTATCCCAACGGATTGATAGACTTATCGGGTTGAAATGATAAGCTCGAGGAGCACGGGACAAAGCCCATTTTGTCATCCTACTTTCCACGCAATACACCTCGCCTGAACCGAGTAGGTTTCCCGCGCCAGAGTCATGATCGCAAACATTGGTACAGCCATTCGGATCCCACCACGTGTCCAATCATTAAACTCTTCCTTGACACGCGTGAGGCATCAGACGGCCCATACAGTTGACCTTTTAATCAAACTCTATCCCCTTCCCCTGCACCCTCTATAAAACCACCCCAATCCCCCAAACTCCAAAATCGCAAACAACGTGGGAGAGAGTTTGAGTTTCTTACGTTGGAAAAGAAAAAATGGTTTGCTTTTGTTTCCTTGTGGATCAGACGAAGAAAGTGAAGCGGAGCAAACCCGTGGCGGGGTCTTGCTCGCGGTGTGGCGGCGGTGCCAGCGTGGCAGATATGATCACACAAACTAGATTCTGCTTCGTCCCTTTCTATTGGAAATCTTGGAAGGCTATTATGTGCACTTTCTGTGGTGCTATGCTCAAGTCCTATGCATGAAATTTTCAATGCTTCTATAAAATCTTTTTCATCTATACAATGCTTCTTCTTTTTTTTTTTTTTTTTTTTATTTAGGGGTTTAGAGTATATTTTGTATCCGAGTTTTAATTTGGAAATATATTGGGGCCAAAATTTTCAAGTCCCTTTTTCCCATCTTCATTCAACAACTTTGGTGTGTGATTATGGGTTAGTTGCGGCAATGCTTTTCACAATATTGATTAGTTTCATTTTATAGTTGAAAGTCTTTTTTTATTAATTTATTGTTAATTTAGTTATTCTACCTATTGGTATAAGATTTTTTTATTGTATAATGATTGTAAAATTGATTTTAGAATGTATATATTTATTGTGTTGTTTTCATTAAATACTTCTTGATGTGAAGTCTATTATTTTAGTTATATTGTATATATGAGTTAAAGTACTTATTGTATTCCTCTTATTTAAATCAATTTTGCTTTTTTTTTTTTTGTAGTATGGATCATCATGCCGAAAACTTGAAGTCATATAGATTAGTTTTAATTAACTATGTTAGGAATCACAGATTAAATCTTAATTATCAATTTTAAGATATTTTGTGTATTATGTTGATCATTAAAAAAAATTATACAGTACGTAATTTATATGAATGAGAAAAATGGATGTAGATTTGATGAAACCACGCATGCTGTGAATACCATTGGGTTGCTTTTTCTATATGCAAAGCCTTCAGATATAAGATACTGTTCTTGAGTAGAGTGGGGGTGTTTTGATCAATTTTAGTTGGAAATCATCGTCATTGTTTGGTCATTGTCCTTGAAGAAAACTTCATCACACTTTTGTTCTCTTGATATTCTTATTTTGCTGATTTATTAATCTCTCTATTCTTCTTTTGCGAAATGTGGTTCTCTTACTATTTAAATTGTGTAGTATAAGTTTATTTGATAACTTCACATCTAACATGTAGTTGTAATGTTTATTAGGCTGGCTTTCATATTCAAATCTTGTATATGAATAAAGGTGTAGTTATATGAATAAACCCTACTTAGAAGGGACCGAGGAAATCCTATAAAATCATTATATATAAAAAAAATTATTACATTTTTTGATTGTGTAAAATTATTTTAAACGACTATTATAAAAGAATTAAATAATAATCATCTTCTTTGTTTTAACTAATTAGATATCATGTTTATTATACTCGTTAAAGAACTTATAATTAATACACTATATCAAATTAAAAAAATTTATTTTAACTAAAAATAATTAACATGTGAAATAATATAAATTGAGTCTTGTATAAAAAAATAAATAACTATCTTAAATTAGATCTTATAAATAAATAAAAAAGAAGTAGTATTAGATATGGAAGAATTATACAATTAATATATATATTTAAAAATTAATTATTAAATTCGAAAAATAATAACAATAAAAACGCAATTATGTAAAAATAAATAAATAATCATTGTAGATAGATACTCACTCACTATAATTTTGTTGGTTATCGTGTCACTTGAATTCTTAATTACTTTTGACCTAATAAGAGTCATTTTTGGTCCCATGTTTTAGTAAGGAGCACTTGTGATTTGTGAGAGTGTCATGGGGCTGGGACACAGCTGTGTCTGTACTGTAGGAGAAACTTTAATGCCAGTTTTCTACTTCTGTTTCTCTCTCTCTCTTTTTAATTGTAAAATGTCAATATTGTGTTCTTGTCAATTAATACCAGTTTTCTACTTCTATTTCTCTCTCTCTTTTTAATGTAAAATGTCAATATTGTGTTCTTGTCAATTAATATCTATATTATAAGTACATGCATTTAGTTCATGTGCCAGTACATGCTCAATTCAACCACGTAACTCTACCATCTAATTAAGTTACTTTATTTGGATTAGTGATACATATATATGTGATGTCTTTTTCTAAACACACATTAATAAAAGTAGTGTATGATCAGTTTTAATAATAAAATTTTTATGTAAATAAAATGTTCTATCTTTTATTCATTATTATGTAATTTTTTGTAAAAATTTAAAATTGTCAAAAAATGTGTATATTAAAATAAGAACTCATCTTTATATATAAATATAGATTATAAATTTTTGAAAAATTATAAAGGAAAAAAGTTTGTTTTTTTTTTCATGATGTCCATTATTTTATCAGAAATATAATTTAAAAACATTTTATTTCACAAAACAATCTTATCCTAAACATTTTGATGTTTGGATAAGGTATTTTAAAGGTCACAGACGGTTTTATTTTTAAAATTAGTATTTTTGATAAAATAATCGAGTTGATAAAGAAAGTATTTTTCTATGTAAAAAAAAAAAGGTTTTGCTCATGAGCAAAATTTTATGGTTAAAAACTATCAAATTATTTTCCCCACAACAATTTTACTATAAAATTGGTATACTTTAAAAATCATCTTAAAATTACTTTCCATCACACATATAATTACTTATAACAATAATCAAATGTAGATATAATAAAAATATATAGTAACATTTTTTTTTCATTTCATCTCCAACAATTGATTTTTCTAAACACAAAATAAATTATTATATTTAATATCCTACCCTTTTGTAATTTTTCTATGAAAAACTCTTTTTAGAAGATTTAAACGAAATATAATTATTTCTAAATCCTTTTTCATCTGGTTTATTCAAACATAAAATTTATAAGAAAACCTTTGGTCTAATCCTTCATATTTAAATGTTACTAGAATTATCAAATAATATTATTAAAAATTACTTTTATCTATACAATATATATAATATATGTTGGTATATTGTTAAAAAAATTCAAAATATGCTATTGTAACATATAGAATATATTGTTAAATTTCATTCAAAATTAATAATAAAATTATGTATAACTATATATCAAATATATATATATATATATATATATATATATATATATTATACTTATAATAATATTTTTTATATATTTATTATATGTAACATTTTTTTGTAGTGTATGTAATAACTTTATTATCAAATTATTCCTTTAAAATTTTAAATTTGAAAAGATCATGTCATTTAATTCTAGTACTTAATATACACTTTTATTTTGGACATAAACTTGCAATTTTAATTGGGTCCATTTGGCAGAGAGAGTTATACCTCCTCAATATAGAGTAAAAATATATACACTTTTACTTTTATTATATAATAATAATAACTTTTTATACACTCTAATTTTTCTCAGGATCGGCCACATTGAAAATAGGACATTAATTAGTTTGTTAGTAGATTCATGCCATAAAACGTTTGAAACAATGCCTAATTATCTCGTACCTTAAAAAGAAGTGAATGAATCCTCTATAAGTGTCGTATTGTATGAGGAGTATTATTAATAGCACAAGACACATTTCATACATGAGGTTTTGGTCAACTAGATCAATCGTGATTGGAATGAATGACAACGAAGCTAGCTATAGGTTTGAAACTATATCAACTTTCTTAATTTTGAATTTATTTGGCGACGGTGCAAGTCATGTAAATGTAGATGCTAGTTGGAAACGTGGAAATTGAGTTATGTTCAATAAATGTTTTCCACCATTTTGAAAATTATACACATGTATGGTTTTCAAGTTTGAATTTGCCGACCCAAGAAGAATGATAAAGTTGCAAATTAATGTAGATGTAGGTTTAGGAAAGATTATATTGTTAAAGTGGTAGTATACTTTAAGGTGTTTTCAACTCAAACAAGAGTATATAAAATGGGGAGAAAAAAAAATTAAAGATGCCAATTTTTCTGCTGAAAACTTTCCAACTACTCCTATCATTTTGTTTAATGTTTTAATAGTTTTTTATTTTAATTTGATTGTTGTATTACAATTTCAATGAATAATTAAGAAAGTTTTAATTTCATTTAACAATTAATGTATATATTCTAAAATAAATTAATATGAGAATTAAAAAGTATAATATAAAAAAAATTAGTTGATCATTTGTACAAAAATTAAAAATAGAAATGTTATTTTTAATTCCTATGTCATGTGCAACGAAATAGAGATTTTTAACTAAGGTTCTATTTGGATAAATATATTTTAGAAGCATTGATAGGAGAAAAAAAATTAAATAATTTTTTTTTAAAATTAAAGTTAATTTATGTAAAGGTTAATTTTTAAAAGAACTTAACTGATGCATAAATTAATTTATTTTACAAAAAAAATATTTCATATTAAAAATTTAGTTTATTATTAAATATAATATAAGAGTTAAATTAAAAGAGAATTAAAAATCTAATATAAATATTTTTAACTGAAACATAAATTAATTTTAGTTTATAATAAAAAAATATTTCAATTTTTTTTGTCCAATAATATTTCTGGAAAGGATTTTATCCAAATATAAGTATAATAGTATGAAAAAATATATAATACTTAATAAAAGTTATACTAATGTTGTTTGAACCCTCTTCATATTTTATATATATATGAGTTTTGTTTATTTGAATTAATAAAATGAGATTTTAAAATTTAAAATTTTTTATGACCTTAATTTATGTATTAAAAATTTTAAATTCAATAATTAAATCATTAAAATTTGATATGAAATATAAATTATTAAATAAAATAAATTTAAATAGATTTATTATTAAAATAAATGAATTTCTTCATATATATTTATATGAGAAGGGTTCAAACGACATCGGTATAACTTTTACTAAGTATTACACTGTTTAATAACTTTTTATTTTTATAAATTCAACCATTAGATTGAAAGTTCATATCACTTTATATGTATTAAATTTTATTAAAATTGAATAACTTGAAGGTATTCAAAGTGTTCATATTTTATATTTTGAAATGTATATATTACGTCAATTTTGTTTTATAAGAATGAAGTATCAAATTTTGTATATATGATCTAAGAATAAAGAACTTTCAATCTAACAGTTGGATTTATAAAATTCACATTTAATATAAAGTTATTAAGCAGTGTAATATTTAGTAAAAGCTATTCTGGTATCGTTTGAACCCTCTTATATATATATATATAGAGAGAGAGAGAGAGTTAATCACTTATATATTGCCAGTGTAAAAATTTTTTACACTGACAATCAATCATATCTTTTAAAAATGTCATGTCATTTACTTATTTAATTAAATAAAAATAAAATAAAATAACTTAAAATATATAATTAATTGTCGGTATAAAAAATTTTACATTGACAAAATATATATATATATATATATATATATATATATATATATATATTTTCTGTG